ATATATATTTTTTTGCAGTGTTCATGATGTTTTACAGTTGAATATGTCATTATTCTCAATGGTAATATCATTAAATTATCATTACTATAATATAATTTTGTGTTTAAATCAGCAAAAAAACTAAAAAAAAAAAACACACAGGTAGCAAATGCAAATCTAACTTTAATTTTAATAATTAGTATATAAGTTATTGGTTTGTGTGTCATCAAATAATTTTATATAATGTCTTAATTATTAATTTTTTATTTTTTTTATTTTTTTTGCAGTCATATTCCCGACAGGTTAGGAGAGATTGATGGCAGTATGTTCAGGTTCAGTGTGTGTGTGTGTGTGTGTGTGTGTGTGTGTGTGTAGGATGTTCAGAAGAGCCTCCTCTGTAGCTTTACGTAACAGCTTCTCAAAGCTTCACATCACTCCACACACACACACACACACACACACACACACACACACACACTTCACAGATGGTGTTAAAGGATCAGTCCTCCAACTATGAGATGCTCGTTTATTTACTGTGTTCATTAACCTTCTGCTGCTCCTCGCATTAATTAATAAGAATGTAAATGTCAACCTTGAAATGCAATGTAGTCGCTTTGGATAAATGCGTCTGCCAAATGCATAAATGTAATGTAAATGTAATTTAATATTATGTATTTTTACTCAATATATTTATAATAATAATCCATGTATTTACTTATTAGATTCAACTTATTAAATCTTGAAAGCTTTAAATCACACACGTTTAAAGATGACACTTGGAAGTCAAAAAAACTTTTATTGTTATAAAAAATGCACAGAAATATTATTTATCATTTTTATATGAAATATGTATTTTGCAAAACTCTAAAATTACAAGAATATTAAAGCCATAAACAAGTTGTTTTCCAAATTTGATGTTGATATATTAAAAAATGAGCTGTCAGTCAGATTTGGGCGCGGTACCAAACGTTTCCTCTAGTCTAGATGAAATGTATCTCCCATTCATTTCCAATGTGCTCATTTTTGACTGCGAAAAATACAAGTTAGACACATTTTTTTTTCAGGACCATTAAACCTTTTTGTGTTCACACAGCAAGTGCCAAAACCTTTACCAAGTTTCATACCATTTTGATGAAGTAAACGAATATAAGTAACATATTTTGGTCAAAAATGACCTAGTGGTTAAACTGACTGCTTCATAATTAACTAATTTACAAGGAATTTTTAAGTATGGAAATGATGGTGATAAAAACGTGACACAAAAGAAAACTTATATTTGAGCTTTTTCTTTGTCTGATGATGTTTTCATCACCAACATAAAATGAATCAGGTGTGTTTGATTGGTAGACTCCATAACACTATATCAACCTGCACTTCTGCATTTAATGCAATTCTCTTCAATTTCTACACTGTTTGTATTCCTTCAGTTGGATATGTGAAATTAAATCTGAAATCTTTGCACAACACAACACTGATGAACACCGACTCAGACCCTCGGTATAGTGAACAACATCCTGAGCTGTGACGTCAAGAAAAATGTAAGTCCAATTGATATTTTTTGAGAAATAATATGTGAAATACTTGCATTTTGAAATGTATGTATTTTTTTGCGTGAAAACTTTAATTTTACTAAACAAATGACTGCTTTTGAATGAGTCTTTTGCACTTGCGTTTTCGGGACCAGACATGCGCAGTAGTGAGCAGGAAGTAAAGTCGCGGGCTCTGGCATCAATCGCAAGCACACACACCTTGCACTTTTCTTAAGTGGCCTCTGTCTGCTTCTTTCCTCTCCAATGGTGTCTGCTGATTGCAATACCTCGTTGAAATAAGGTAAATACAACTACTAACCACATGGTCATTATGAAAAAAAAAAAAAAAAGTCGGTTGGTGCTTTAGTGACTACTTCGCACAGAGAACCTGTCAATCATGATGTCACAGCACTGTTTTTATAGCATCAAACAACTAACTAACTTCTTTGATTTGACTTCTAACTATCTTTGGATAAAGGATATGTGATTTAATTGTTTAGTTGGTCTCACGTGCCGTTGAATAACATGGGGAGGCGGGGTTTATGACCTATACTAGGACCGGCCACTAGGGGGCGATCGAGACCTTTTGGCTTCACTTGTGTGGCACGCTTGATCGGCCTCATCAGCGGTGATGATGCTTTTGAAAGTTTCTTGACCCATAGATGTCAGGTTTAAGTCAGTAATGCAATTACAATGGGAGTGTTGGGGGATTTAGACATTACACTGGGATAAATGCAATTATTTTTAATCTAAAAACACTTAGTATCAAGTCAAACATGTTTAATGAACACATACAACCGTCAGTTATGACCACATTACACAATATTAAGAATAAAACAATCTGTCACACAATACAATGAAATTGACCAGATGTTCAGCATTTGATTTATGCCACAGAAACATTTTACACATGTGCTGGTGTGTTTCTGTGCTGGTTACCAGTTACAAAACTGACAAAATCACCAATATTTATTTGCTACTACACTACACAGATTTAAACAGTCTGTCAATAGTATAAAATTAAAGGCAATTGACCGTTGAGCCGCACCAATTTTAATACCAAAGCCATTGTCAATGTTTTACTGTGCAAATTATCAATTTCATTTGCAATTACAGGGAATACATAATAAATCTACTCTGTACAAAACAACATCGTCATTGAGAAATACTTATCCTGAGACCCGGCGCACAAAACATCCTTCTGATAATCTGCCGTGTTTATGTAACCGTGATTTGTGCTGTTCAACACTATATGATTCATGTGTGGATGAATGCAATAGTGCAAAAAATACCTTCATATTTATCATACTTTAAGAATCAGTCCTTCTGAAAACAGTCAGGATTGTAAATGCAGGAATTCAGGAATGTGAAACATGATTCATTATTACAGCAAATATAGAATAATTAAGAAATTGTGGTAAAACAACAGTGTAATGGATGAATCATTAAACCTGTTAAGAACGCGTCCTTCATATTTCACTCAAAAAAATAAATTAAATAATATTAAAAAGAATAGACATTTAAAGGATCATTAAGATGTCCTGAATTGTGAAATTGTCACTTTCTCCCAATATATTAATATAGTCATTTTAGTTATAAGTTCTGTCATTTTTAGTAATACTTTACAGTACTGTATAAAACAGCAAAGATTACAAATTACAGTTATACAATTTATTAAAATCATCATATAGGCAGTACAACAAATACCACCGTGATGAATAGATATTTTGTGCTTAATCATAATAATAATAATAAACTTGCTTTTTTTTCTTCTGATTTTGAGGTAAAAAATGAGACAGATATTTCTTGACAGATTTTGTGAGATTCGTCCAAATACATCGTAAACATGTTTTTATCGTAACTTCAGCATTAAAATGACTCATATTTTTGGTGTTTGTAGAAAACAGAAAATCAAATCTAAAAGAAGGTCCGTCAATGTTTGGCAACTTTTAGCATTAACTTTAAAGGAGTCGTTCACTTTAAAAAATCTTTTGCTGATAATTTACTCATCCAAGATGTCCACGTCTTTCTTTCTTCAGTCGAAAAGAAATTAAGGTTTTTGATTAAAACATTCCAGGATTTTTCTCCATATAATGGACTTCAATGGGGACCAAACGGTTCATTGTCCAAATGAGAGTTTCAGTGCAAACTGTTCAAAGGGCTTTAAATGCGCATTCGCGACTCTCCTATTCAAACTCGTTTATCAAAATGAACGAATCTTCATTCAATGAACGAAATGAATGAATTGACTCAGGAAAAGATTCGTTTTGATGAACGAGTTCAAACAGGAGAGTCACGAATAGAGCCCGATAAAATATAATAAAATCCAATATTCCGATATATCAGCCGATATATGTATTTTTTTTCATAAACGCGCAACACAACATTAACAGATTTCCCTAACATTAGTTATTTGTAGTTATTTATGAATTTTAACTAAAATAATATGCTAATGCATTATAAAATTAAACTTGTTTCTTTTATTGTCGAAACAGAACAGATTGATGATAGTGGCATTAGCTAGCTTTGTGGTTAGCTAGTCTATGATGAGCCATAATTTATTAATGGATAATGTCATACTAATTTTGTCATGCTTATTTGAGTTAAGAGAACTGATGGGGATGATCTTTTAATTACTATTCAAGCAATATATGTATCGTGACTAGGGATGGGCAACGATTAATCGCATCCAAAATAAAAGTTTGTGTTTACATAATATATGTGTGTGTAGTGTGTATAATTAATTTGTATATATAAATACCCACACATGCATGTATATATTTAGAAAAATGTGTTATTAATATATCAAATATTTATATATAATATTAAATTTGAATAAATATATATAAAATATATACATGCACAAACTTCTTAAATATATACATGCATGTGTGGGTATTTATATATACAAATTAATTATACACACTACACACACATATATTATGTAAACACAAACTTTTATTTTGGATGCGATTAATCGTTGCCCATCCCTAATCGTGACCAACTCAATGAGTGTTGCCAACAAGGTTGGTGTAGAGCGCCCTCTGGTGGACAAACTATAAAACTCCAACTCTCATGGTTCATGGTTCAAGCGTGTTTCGTCCGTTTTTATTTTATTTTTGAAATATTCATTTATCGGCCATTATAACTGCCGATACCGATAGTTTGGAAAATGCCTAATATCGGCCGATATCTCGGTCTGGCTCTAGTCACGAACGCTCATCACAGAACAGAGCAAGGCGAGCATTTGTGCTTATAAAACTTTTTATTTATTAAATGGCCGCTCGTTTCGTTTGATAAGACCCTTATTCATCGTCTGGAATCGTTTAAAGCCCTTTGAACAGTTTGCACTGAAACTGTCTTTTTGACCTTGAACCGTTTGGTTCCCATTGAAGTCCATTATATGGAGAAAAATCCTGGAATGTTTTCATCAGAAACCTTCATTTCTTTTCGACTGAATAAAGAAAGACGTGGACATCTCGGATGACATGGGGGCGAGTAAATTATCAGCCAAAGTTGAACTACTCCTTTAAGCAACCAGTCTTAAAAGCTGAAGTGAATTAAACTGCAGCGAGAAGCAAGTAAAATGCGAGGAAAGCGTCGAATGGCGCAGAGATCAGCCGATAGCTGGCGCTGCTTTGCATCTCTACAGATATGGCTGCTTCCTCTTGTTTTTGGCGGTGGAGAGGATCACATTAGGTTCCCTCGGCAGTGTCCGGTCCCTGTGGTTTGCGTTTCCTCACTGAACTCAGCATCTGCTCACTGCCACTGCCGGCTTCTTCTTCTTCTTCTTCAGTCGAGTCGTCTCCAGACACTCTCTCGCTCTCGTTGTCCAGGTCAGACGTGTGTTTCTCCTCCACCTCTTCCTCTGACACTTCCTCTTTCACAATCACAACTGCACAGGTACAGAGATTGAAATGATTCACTGTATTAGGGAAGGTTCGGCGACAGCTCTCGGGTTGCACTTAGGCGTTACTATTGAATATGCACAAAATATTCACAACAACAATATTTCCATCTGATCATCAGTTCAAGTGAATCTCACCTCTTTTGTCTTCTCTACGCTTTGTTCTGGACGGCCAAATGCAGTCAGCGATCAGAACCAGCATCTAATCGAGATATTTCCCATTAGATGGAGTCATTATTTCACTCTCGCCAGTGGAAGTTCACTTTTAAAAGTTTGATCCACTCCATTGGAGAACCACCCACAGTATCCTCAAAAGAGCCGCAGAATCGACCGCTATTACGCAACTCACAGTTGTATAATGTAGGAACATCTTTATTTCAACATGCATTATATAATTCCTTCTGCTGCAAGTCATCGTGTGTGTGTGTGTGCGATCTGCTTCATAGCGCGCTCGCATTTGATGAAGTCAAGTGCACTTTGTTGGGTCCCTTTGGTAAATGGTCTTTTTAGATCTGTTCTACGATTGCAGGAAGATTTATGCATGAGATACTTTCATGCAAAGAGTGAAGCGCATCAATTTATGCTTTAAACATGAATAATACATTAAACCATCTAAAGTGTGAAAATTATGTTTTTGGACTCACCAGGCCGAGTATCAGTCCCATAAATAGCGTGATGATGGCAAATATCACGTAAGAACCCCAAGAAGGAATACCGAGAGCATTTGTCAGGTACGTGTGGATTTGCTGTTAAATGGACAAAAGAGGGATATATAATCAATATACATATAAGATGGTTTTATTTCATAAAATTCAGTAAGCGTAAAGCACCTAAAAGGACGTAACACTTTACAGTAAGGTCACATTAATTTAGAACAGATTAAAATGTGCGATTAATCGTGAGTTAACTGAAATTAATGCGATTAATCGCGATTAAATATGTTAATTGTTTGCCAGCACTAATATATATATATATGCTTTTCTTACTTAGTATTTTTGTCTTGTTTCCAGTCCAAATATATAAAAATTCTTAAATCAAGATGCATTTACTAGATGAGTAAAATGGCATTTTTACTAGTTTGTCTTAAAAAAAGTTAACAAAATTTTGTGTTGACAAAATATATGTGGGTAAATTGTGTATAATTATGTTATATATATAAATACACACAAATGCATGTATATATTTAAGAAATATTTTCATGTATATACTGTATATAGATTTATATATATGAAGAGTTCAGATGCAAAAGCCTCTAAATGCCATTTGAAATTTTCTTCTTTAATGATGCTTTTTATCAAACTTGTATATTTAAGTTCAGTAATTTCACTTAAATAACAATTAATAGGTGATTATCATTGCCATTTAATTGAAATTACTGAACTTAAATATACAAGTTTGATAAAAATCGCCATTAAAGAAGAAAATTTCAAATGGCATTTAGAGGCTTTTGCATCTGAACTCTTCATATATATATATATATATAAATATAAATATTTTATATATAAATAATATTTTCTTCTTAAATATACACCCATGTGTGTGTATTTATATATATATATATAAAATAATCATACACAATCCACCCACATATATTATGTCAACACAAACTTTTATTTTGGATGCGATTAATCATTATGCATGCGATTAATATATATATATATATATATATATTAGGGCTGTGCAAAAATTAATTGTGATTAATCGCATCCAAAATAAAAGTCTATGTTTACATAATGTATTTGTGTGTGCTGTATATAATTATTTTGTATATATAAATACACACACATGCATGTATATATTTAAGAAAATGTGTTATTCATATATAAAATATTTATATTTATATAATATAGATTATGTATTTATATATACATATATACATAATTTAAGCGCAAATAATTCTTAAATATATACATGCATGCATAGGTATTTATATATACAAAATAATTATATACAGCACACACAAATATATTATGTAAACACAGACTTTTATTTTGGATGCGATTAATCGCAATTCATTTTTGCACAGCCCTAATATATATATATATATATATATATATATATATATATATTAATCGCATGCATAATGATTAATATATATATATATATATATATATATATGTATAAGCTGTGATGCAAGTAATCCATTTAATTTCTTCTGAATGGCCAGGAACTCTCCATTTTGGCCGGTGAGTGAAAAAGTTAATTTCAAACCCTGAATGTACATAATAAAAGTATTCCTCTATGTCTCAAGTGTATTGCTGCAGACTGGGAAATTGATGCATCAATATAGTTATATGGACCTTTTTTGATATTTTTATGGTGTTTTTTCATCCTTTTTGGACCAGCGTAAACACCTTTAAAATATATTATTGTGTGTTCCATGGGAAAAAACGAAGCCATAAGGGAATCGAGCGAGTAAATGATGCAAGTTTTAAAGGAAAAACTCCAGAAATGTTTCTTACTCGGATCCACACGGAGAGACGAAACAGATTAGCCATTCCGGACATTCTGTAAAAGAAGAAAATGGTTTTATAAACAGAATTTCATCATCATGCACTTTTGCAGACAGGAAAGGTTTTATTTACAGAAGAGAGGATGGTGACTTCCATCCTGGCACCGGATCAACCGTCGCCCACTTTCGGTCCACAACGTAAGCTTGGATATCCTCAATAGTCCGCGATGAAACATATTTGCGGAAATCCCCATCTTTAGCGCTGTGGGTGAGATGGGTTTTCTGTTATACTACAATGATTGCACTGTTTTACTTTTTTAAAAAGAACATTTATAAAGGAGTTGTTGTCATAACACCTGAGGGAATATAAATTCAGACTTACTGAAATATAGTCGGCAGTGTTGTAACCAGAAACCTCCCACTCAGACCTGCAGAACAAAAGAAGAGAGGACGGATATGTGGATGCAGAAACGCTCATCCTATACTGGGCGTACAATTCCCTTCGGCATGGGAAGGCGGTATACGGTTTATAGCGGAGCTGAAATATGAGTACAGCCTGACAGCTTTCTGACAGCGAGACACAGTAAAAGGCGTTTTCTCTGAGATTTACAGGAGAAACACCATTCAGACCCAATGCAGGAGGACGAACGAGACCACATTTGCATGATTAGTGGCTTAAATGCAATCTTTGCTTGTCTTTAAATTGTAATCATGTTCAAAAGGGAATCGTCTAACCCGGTCTGGATATAATGGGGGCCTATCAAAGCCTATATCAGTGTCAGTGTTTCTGAACTCCTGAAACGCCTCCATTGTAGTCGAACACGTCACAATATTCCTCATTATAATAATTAATGCGCAAAATAAAGGGGCGGGGCCTGGTTGAGTTAGTTAGTAGTGTGTTAAACTGGCGGTTATGGTAAGGGGCGGGACATTTCCCAAACACGCTCGAAGCGCTCGACCGATCACAACACACTGCTCCAGCCGACCAATCAGAGCACAGTGTGCTTTTCAGAAGGAGGGGCTTCATAGACACAGGAAGTAAACAGAGCGTTACTGACAGACTGGGAAGAGAGGAGCCGCAACAATGGAGAATATGAGGAGAATAATGTGTTGTGGGCCCAAAAACAAAATATTAAAGGCTTTCATTTGCTTATGTTGTCAGGTACACAATAAACATGCCTGACAATAATTGCAGAAGGAATTCAATTTAGTGACATCAGTCAACTGTATTAGAGTTAATGTGAGCCACATGACAGCTCTTAAATCGAGTCAGTAAAGAGCTGTGTGTGTGTGCAAACGATCCAGCAGTGTTCCCTCCTTCTGAAACACTAGACACACTGCAGATGATCAAACAAGGCATTCACGCTGTTGATGGTGTGTGTCACGCGCAGAATTACAGTCCGTTCAAAAGCTATGAATGTGGATCATTCTCTCTTTATAGTATTAGCTTTTGTTTCAGCTCAACTGTTGCATAATGTGAAGATGGTTTTGCATTGATGTCAGATGACTTGTACCCCCCCATAAAAAAATAAATTGGTAACACTTTATTTTAAGGTGTAATTAAACAGTACTACATGTACTTAATATAGTAACAGTAAATGATGCATAATTACAAGTAACTAACTAACTGTAACTCTATAGCAAGTACATGTAGTACAATGTAACTACATCACTTAAAAATGTAATTCACTGGATTAGCAAATTTATATGCATTACCATATATTTATTTCATATATAACATATAAAGTAACAAAATAACTATTTAGTTTGCATGCCATAAAATTATCCATACTGTTTTGTTTTTTCCCCTACTGCCCCTAAGATATAAAGATGCACAGTCAGTCAAACCTGGTTGTTGAGTAACGTCCACCCTGCCCACTGATATGCCTAGACTTTCACTTTGTCTTCCCAGATTCTCCCAGTCTGCTTGTAAATGTTGGCACGCCGGGCACCAGGGAGCATAACTGTAATAAAACACATGAAACACAGCCGCGATTCATTTACATGCATGCATGCATTAATAATACAGGCTGTAATTTCACTTCCTGCATATTGGATGTAAATGTGGGCGTAACCCTGATGATGTGATCACACTATATAAACACAATATTTGATGCTTAACAAATGCTTAATGCATAACATGACGATCTGCGCTTATTTACATGTGTATACATATTATTACACTTCCGGTTGCAGCTCAGCAAATACTGTACTTCACTGCATAACACATATTGTTATTGTTATTATTTCGACCCACTGGAACAGTTTAAACTGATGAATTGTTGCAGATCCAAGCGTCATAGAATCGCGCGCTGATGATCTGATCTGATCTCAATGATTATTCACACTAGCATCCTGTCGAGATCACACACACATACTCACAATTTGATCATCCACTCGCCCTGCAGGATGAGCGTCCAGTTCGCATCGGCCACTGTCAGCACATGATTATCCCCCGACTGAGCGTTTACACGACACACGAGCAGCAGAAATACTGCCGAGATATACATGAAACATGAACTTCTGCCGTATTCCTGCAGTTCAGCGCGTGCCAGTCCCGCCATATTGCCGCTGCAGGAGCACATGATCCACCAGAAGCAGGAAATACAGCAGCAGAAGCACAGATGTGCCGGATTATACGCGCTTCTGCACAAACATACGAGCCTATACACACACACACTATACTACTATTATATACACATTATTCTTTAATTAATAATAATTCAATTAAACACATTTACTATATTATTATTTTCACTACTACTATTATTATAGGCTATCACATAATTAATTACATGTATTATTACAATATGCACAGTGTTGTATAGCCTATATTTCTGTCAATTGTGTACTTCCATCATCTTAAATGTTTCCAAGAATTTGTAAGTTCAGAGAAATTCACAGTTTTAAAAAGCGCCTGTTCATGTTCATTTGCCGCCTGTCAATGACGTAATAACCGCGTTAGCCCTGGTTTCCGCTCTTACTGTCATAGTAACCATAGCGACAGACGTGGACAACAACCATAGACATATACACTACTACACTAGACCTCACCTTGGCTACGGCAGTTCATTGGAACGAATGCGTCAATAGAGCCGCCATCTTGAAACTGGGGATCCCCTCCACTTTAATGCATCAGCGTCAATGTAGTAAACACAGGTCTAACGGAAATAAAATCACCATAAATAATCACGAATGCGATTTTTCTTGTTTTTTTGGTTTGTTCCAACGGTCAGACATGTATTTATCATTGATTCCAGAAAGAAATTTTTTTTTTTTTTTTTTTTTAAACATTCTTCCTAGTTCAGATTTCATCCGTGAACATCATACACTGCACAAAAGTCTGCCACTATCAATGAATTCGAAGTAAAGGCAGAGATAGCAGCGTTACCTATATACTTCCTATGACAAGACCCCTGTTCCAAGATGGCGGCGGTTTTGACGCATGCTTAGAACCCCAAGGTGAGGTCTAGTGTATACCCAGACAGCAAACTGACATTGAATCAACGTGGAAACGACGTCTCTCATGACACTGAAACAACGTTGATTTTGCTCATCGAATTAACGTTGAACCAACGTCAGACGCGGCATTCTTCAAAGCTAAATGAAAATCGAAAATTGGTTTGCTTTCATAACGTTGAAACAACGCGTTGATTTCAAGTTGATTTTCCGTTAGTTTTGAAAGAATGACGCGTCTGACTTTGGTTCAACGTTAATTCGATGAGCAAAACAATGTCAGATCAACGTTGTTTCGATGTCATATTTCCACGTTGATTCAATGTCAGTTTGCTATCTGGGTATGTCTATGGACAACAACGTCCCTCCGCTTCCGGCTCATGGGACCTTATTTCGGAAAAAATATGAATGGTAGTCAATGGCGAGAGACAACTTATCTTTTTATTCCGTCTGAACTGTGCCCTCAATTACACAAATGATATTTGTCAATTTAAAAGATAATTCTGAAAGTCAAAAACGTCGCAGTTTGTCATAAAACAGAAGAGTAACATATAGTTTTATGTGAAAATCGCTCTATGAACTACATCTCCCGGTAAGCGAAACAACGAGTGAGATCTGCTGCTCGTGTGTGTGCAGTCTGGTACAAAACACTCAGGTATGACGGCGTAACGTTACGATTATAACGTAAGATTATAGAAACAATGACAGACAATAGCCTCAGTAAAGTTAGCCTCATTCATTGAGGGAAAATGTGCGCCTTTGGGGTTTGTAGTCTTTGTAATTACGTATTTTCACTTTCTTATACCTCAATGGTTTTACATCAAACTGCGACTTTCTTTACTTTAAAATGTATCTTTTAAATTGACAAACATCATATGTGCAATTCAGGGCACAATTCAAACGAGATCAAAATATTTTTTGTCTCTTGCCATTGACTACCATTCAATATTTTTCCGAAACAAGGTCCCATGGTGGTCGACCGGAAGGGGAGGGACTTAGGCTCATATGTCTAACGGCACGCTCACGCTGTTGTTTCGTTCAAACATTATGAACCATGGCAAGCAGACTTTGGGACAAAAGTAGAAATAAAACGAGGATCAATATCAGCGTGGCGTTTTCGAGATGCCGAAAGCTAGTGCAGAGACTATTTATATCGACATGCTACTTCCTCAATCCTTAATACAAATGTATAGTGAAAAATCCGTAACACCAAAGATGGCGGTTGTATGCAAATGCCCCGCCCTCCCGCTGGACAGCCAATCGTCTGCTTAACGGTCAAGCCGGGAAACATTTATTTTAAATGCGTTACTGTTTGAAAAGGCGGCAGATTTGATATGCAGTGCATGTGTGCGTTGTGTAAATATCAGACATCCCAAAGTCTCCCAAAAGTTCCGGGTGTGTCTGTCTCAATATCTGTCTCAATATCTGATATCTGTCTCAAATTTTTACACTCATCCATGAACATTATTAGATCCATCAGCATGAGTCATGACAGCAAGTCCCATCCTTTCTCTTATCACTGCGTCATCAGCCTATGCCTTTGCATTTCACACCGAACGTGAATTTAATTATTTGCGCGAGTAGATTACATACAAAGTCAAAGCAAAGACGCGAATAGACGCATCATTCGCGCCGGGCGTTGCGAATGACGCGAATTGGGCGACGCGTTTGCCGCAAATGTCTTCCACGCAAGTTGAAAAATTTGAACTCAAAATGTTCAAGCGTCTAAAGTAGATGCGTATTTGACGCTCTTTTCGCGTTCGGTGTGAACACACCATTATTGTAACGGTGCGTGTCCACTGGCACGGATCGTTTTCAATTCATTCCTATGGAAGTCGAGCTTCACGCTCGCGTAGTGCGTTTTGGTATTGTCAGTGGACCGGTGAAAGCGTTGAGAGCGTCAAAAGGTTGGGCAGTTCTCGACTTTATGCAAATATCAAGCGAAAAATGCGGTCGGCAGCCAATGTGCGGTTCGGGATGTGACATGTTTTGAGATTTTTAAAATATGCAAATTGTGCCGGAGTTAGTGCGTAAATAATTAGGCTGGATTTAGTGGGTAAATAATTTTGTTCTTTGCAGTTGTTGTATGTTAAATAATTCATTTTGGATGTGTTCATTTGTGATACTGGCTGGGTTTATTAAAGTTTATAAAATTGACGGGATATCTTTGCTTGGATTTAGGTAAACAAAGCTTGTCTATTTCCGAATGTAATTGCGCGCATCTCTGATGATTATACTGTGTGAAAAAAAAAAAAAAAAAAAAAAACCTAATTAAACACACTCGCAACAGACACACCCCAGCGGAGTTTTGGCGCTGTTGTTGACACGCGACCCCTAGTGGCGATATATATATATATATATATATATATATTATATATATATTATATATATATAAAAGCCTAAAATACTCTCTGTTAACCAGTAGTTCTTAAAGGTTTTAATTTGATGGCTGATACATTTTGGTGATTTATATGAGTGTTTGTTAATGTGGCAAGAAACCATTCTGTGTCTATAACTATGGGCTATACAATAGTGTCCTCAAAGAAACCTGCTTCCGGGTGTGTTATCTAATCTAACCCACACACTATGAATTAGGGCTGGATTTTACGAAGTTACGTTATTTCCTCTGAGCAGTGTTCAGGAACTGCCTTACATAACACAACGCGGTAACTTGCAAAAACCTGTTTGCTTCAGAAATGATATAAAACAAAAATGCTCCAGTGAGAATTTTAAACTACTCTGTTAAATCATATAGCATGTACTGTATATATCATTATATAACAGCTGAATTCATCTTTATGTACTAGTCAATGCAAGCTGATATAAAACAATAACACAATTGCTGTTTTTCTTCCCAGACGTGGAACTGAAACAAGATGCTTAAATGTGGCTTATATAATTATAAACAGTAATGGTGTATCTGACAATATTAGTATATCTTTATTAGTAAAGATAGTAAAGATATTAGTATATCTAATTGGAGATATACAATATCTTAAAGATATACAATATTAGTATATCTCTAATTTTTTATTGTTGATCTCAACTGGTGCAGCCTAATTGTAACATTCATTAACTGAACATGAAGGACAAGGTAATTTTCTAGAAATTAATCATTGTTTTGCATTAGATACATAAGCTTAGATTTGTTTATAAGTGATAAAAGGGAGATATTAATATATTGTATTCAGTTTTGAATTGTATAGGATTTAGATTCCCAGATGTGGAGCATGAAATAAAGACTTTGGGGCATATTTATGACTTAAATGTAATCACATTACAAGAGAAAGGTATAATGTTGTCCATAATAAATATATATTTGCTATTGCCCTAAATATGCTAATCACATTAATGAGAATTAAAAAACAATTTAATTCAGTAAAACAAATTTACATTTTTATTACAATAGATTCTGAAATTAAGTGTGTACAAGTGTTTAAATGTCATGCAAAATGGTCAATATGCAAAAAAAGCCCACTGTTTGGATTTAAATATGCAAATACAAAGACTATGATTGGATAATTATTGCTCTGATTGTTTCGAGACTTTACAGAGTACTACTCTTGCATCATCAAAATAAGATCTTGATGGAAACCACAACATTTATTTCCATTAAGACGTTCATCAATGTTTGCTCAAGATCTTCTATTGCCAATGCAAGAGTCCAGCACTGTGTAAAGTCTCCTCCAGCACAATCGTTCTTCACAATATCTTCCTTTGTGTTCAGCAGAAGAAAGAAATTCACACAGGTTTGCAGCAACTTGAGAGTGAGTATAAATGATGACAGCATAAATCCAAACGAGGCAGTTTATAGCCCATACATTATAATATAAAGAGTTCAGATGCAAAAGCCTGTAAATGCCATTTGAAATTTTCTTCTTTAATGATGATTTTTATCAAGCTTGTATATTTAAGTTCAGTAATTTCACTTAAATAACAATTAATAGGTAATTATCATTGCCATTTAAGTGAAATCACTGAACTTAAATATACAAGCTTGATAAAAATTATCATTTTAGAAGAAAATTTCAAATGGCACTTAGAGGCTTTTGCATCTGAACTCTTCATATTCCTTCTATTTGTTACTGCAGCATGCTGTATTGTGCTTTCATTAATGCACTTTGTTTTATTTGCAATTGTTGTAATAAAAAAAATATATATATTTTTTATTTTTTACAGTGCTGAATTATATAGGGCTAAAATAGATCCCCCAACGTGTCCTGCCTGCATTCTCTTTGCAGAGGTGTTATGAAATGTTTAATTGTGAGGGTTTGTTGAGCAGGGGAGGGACGCGCTGCGCACTAGGAGGCGCTGGATCTCAGCGCGCGCATGAGTCAGTGTGCGGAGGACTCACACACACACACACTCGAGTCTCTCTCTCTCTCTCTCTCCATCATTTATGATCGCTGGTTCTCTCTGCTGCTCATTTGCTCCTTCCGTTCTGAACCACAAATCTGCGGCGTTCAGTGAGTGCGACCGCAGGCATGTAATGTGTCCATTTGCCAAGAGCCTCCGCGTGCGTAAAGCGCTTCCATTCACCACAACTGTTCCGCTGTCCTCCCGTGCGCTCCGCTTTGGCTTCTTCCCGGAGAAGAAAGAAGAGTGACTTGATTTTCCCCCACGCTGTTTTGGTTGTAAATGTTGAAGCTTGAATGGCTGGAGCTCAACCTGGCGTTCATGCGCTCCAACTCAAGCCGGTGCGCGTGTCCGAGAGTCTGAAGCGAGGCAGTAGGTTTATGAAATGGGATGAGGTAAGTCACTATTAGCCTGTGTGCATGTCTGCGGCTGTCAGAGGATGAATGCACATGATGATGATGATGCTGCTTCTGCGGTGAACGCGCGTGGCGTTTGGTTGTTTGTTTGATCGCATTGTATACATGAACACGTCCAACATTAAACGCCGCAGACTCACTCAGTCAGCTCCTGATCGACCTTTATTGGCGTTAGAGGGGAGAGAGATCAGTATCCAGTTCTCAAGTCCATCAGCATGTTTCACACACTCCATGTGTCCGAGTCTCTGCAGAATGACATCAGGTTACTTTATGTGCAGTCATGTCTCGCTGCATCTCAGCCCTGCTGTCACTTTACAGAAACCTAATGCAAGATGAGTCCTCACTCTGTGTATTGTTACATGAAAACCTTTAGATAGAAGCATGCATTTGGAGACTGAATGTGTCGCATTTTGTGTGCATTGATTGAGGATCAGCACTGATGTTCACATTCACCTGTTGGATGAGAGTTTGTCAGCGACTCCATGCACTCTGAGAATTGAGACACATTGATATAAGACAATTGTCAAATATTTAGTTTAAAGAAGTTGCACACGCTTTATTTATTTATCTATGTGTTTTAAGAAAGTCCTCCCCAATATTGCATTTCATGGTTGATCAAAAATGCTTTTTTTTTTTAATTTTTGGACTTTTAACAGAGCTTGAACACTTGTTTCTATTTTTAATCAAACGTTAAACTCAATGTGGTTCGGTACAATTATCCAACGTAAAACATTTGTTGATGTTGCATGTTAACATCAATACTTTTGTCTATTAAAGCTAATATAAACACCATTCTTGGTTATTTTAATTAGAGCCAGACCGATATATCGGCAGGCGTTGGGCATTTTCCAAACTATCGGTATCGGCAGTTATAATGGCCGATAAATTAATATTTCAAAAAAAAATAAATAAATAAAAAACCGTTGTTACAGTGTAGTTGACTGACTGTCCTTTTAACTTTTGACAATGTGACTTAAGTATTTCTTTAATAGCACAGTTATAGCAATGAGACATATCATCTCTCTTTGGCCTGTTATATTGAAAATGTATATTTTACAATTTGCATTATGACAATGCATTGCTAAATTATGGCTCATAATGCCACTATCATCAGTTGAAGACCGTTAACGTTAACATTAATGAGCTTTGGTTACTCTGTCCTGTTGCGACAATAAAAGAAACAAGTTTCTTTTAAAAATGCATTATCATATTATTTTAGTTAAAACTCATACATAACTAATGTTAGGGAAATCTGTGAATGTTTAGTTGCGCGTTTCTGAAAAAAAAAAATATCGGATTTTAAAACCAACAAATATTTGTATCGGTATCGAAATCCTTTATCGGTCGGGCTCTAATTTTAATCATACAGGGAACATTTGCTCCAAAAAAGCTGCTATTAGTGAACTCTCATTTTCAGTATTTTCTCTAATTTATTTTTTTTATTGCAAATAGTCAGCAGATAAGAAACATTAGGATGCATTTGTGAATGTGTTGGTCTGTTTGCATGAGATCATGTTCTCCAGAGAATCTGAGCGTCTGTGTTTTGACTAGAAATAGTGCAGGATCGGAAATATTTCTCACTATTTTTGGTTTTACTTGCAGGTTTAAAGGTCAGTGAGGTCTGATTTATGCCGCGGTCCTTAAATCACTTTAAATGAACGCAGTATTCTGTATTCTGGGGAGTCAGCACAATAATGCCATACAGCTTTACGTGAGCTTATGCTGACAATGTTGGCGTTTAAAAGCTTTTCACTGCAAACGTTGGCCTGTTGCTATGGCAACTTTCATGCTTTATATGCCCGTCTTCCTGGCCTGCCTTACATTAGCTAAGACGTGCTGCGCCGCCCAACTTAGATGTGCAGTTAGAATGTGTGCAGACCCACGCAAGATCTAGAATAACACAATCAACTCCACATCTCTTTCTGAAGGGACGCCTGACGTCTGCTCCTGATCCGCTTAAAGACGTCTCAAACAGGACCGACGTCTCGTTTGCTGCTTCTTGAAATCCTGTGACTTCCACCGGTGGGGAATTATTACAAGCCAGCATGAATCATAGAGCACTTATGCAACGTCTGAGTCAAACCTCGACTTTCGGTCCGTCCCGAGACCGTATCGAGAAACATGTTTTCCAGTGGATTGCCACAGAAATCCCATGTGTTTTTCTGGCGCGAGGCGAGATTAGTCTTTACCTCCCACAGAAACATGACGTCGGTTCACTGAAGACTTTGATTTTGCTGCGCTTTTTGTTCAGTGTGCTTAAAATAACTCCTCCTGCAGTCGACTTTACAGACCCTTGATATCGAAATCCTGGGTTATGCTCCATCTGTTAGCTCTGGAGCCAAAGGAAACTTTTAGCATTTGAAATGCATGATGTGGATTGTCCAAAACTGTAAACTAAAGGTTTAGAGTTCAACAGTGCCTGTCCACTTTTTTTTAGCATATTATTTCCATTTATTTATAGCGTTATAAGGCATGAGAATCACAACTCTACAAAGTTTGATTTGATTAAAGACCGCATACTTAACAGATTTAAAGGGATAGTTCACTTTGAAATTAATGTTTGGTATGTTTTATCTTACCTCAATAGGGCATCCAAGACGTAGGTGTCTTTGTTTTCGCAGTTTTGATATTTTTAGGTCAAACCGTTTTTGTCTGTCAGTCATATAATGGAGGTCTATGGGGTCCACCTCAAAGAGCATGCACAGAGAAGTCCAAATTAAACATGATTTAATGACTCGTAAATGTAAGTACACATTGATGGCCTAAGACACGAAACGAGCGTTTTGTGTTTGGTTTTCGGTTTTTCCTCTTGTAACCACAGCCACAAAGCGCCCGTGTCGTAAAAATGAAATAAATACGGTTTTGAGAACGTAGGGAGATTACGTTATTCTTTTTCATTTCGTCATGTCTTCCAGCGTTGTGAATTTTAACCCTATTCCTATAGGAAATATGTTGGTGAAAAAAGTCTTTTCACGGGACCTTTAATGCATGCAATGTTTATATTATGTCTGCTGTGTATTTAGACTTAAAAATGTCATTTCTCTGCTCAGGATTCTTCTACTGTGACCCCAGTGACGTTACGCGTCGATCCGCAGGGATACTTCCTGTACTGGACAGATCAGAATAAGGTAAGATTTCTCAAATCAGAAACCAGTGCAGTGTGATTGAAGCATGTGTGAGTATTATTATTATTTGTTCATTTATAGTGCTTCCCAGTTTTGTGTGCAATCATGTTGTCAGAGTTATTTTAGTATCATTAATATTATCTTATTATTTAGTTAATTATTTAGTCATTTTGTTGTTTTGATTATTTTATAATGTGCTTATTTTTATTTTTGTAAAGTTTAGTTTTGGTAAAAAGAAATTGGTAAATTTTGTCTTTAGAACTAACAGAAAGTATGTTAGGTAATTTATTTCAGTTAGCATTACATTTATTTATTATTATTTGTTTAACATTTTATTTCAATTAACATTACTATTTATTCATTAATTTAACATTTTATTTCATTTTATTAAAGGGGTCATGAACTAAATTTTAATAATAGAAGAAGTTTTATTTATATAGCACCTTTCCAGCAGTTCAAGATCGCTTTACATTGTACATACAATACTTTTAAATACATTTCATTTAAATACATTTCAAAAACATGTATATACAATACATTCACGTTTATTTCAATTATTTCATTTATTTATTTATTTAACATCTAATTTATTTCAATTATTTTAATTTATTTAACATTTAATTTCAGTTGACATTGCATTTATTTATTTATTAATTTTGTCGTTTAATTTATGTAATCTAGCAATTAGTATTTGGTTAATGATAACAACACTGGTCTGTGGGCATTAAAATAAGACAGTATATGAATCAAAGGCACAATGCACATCTCATCAGAGCGAAACTGTTCATTTGATCTGGTTTGGTGTCACTTTCCAATGTCTGTCTGTGGGGAATGAGGTTGAGTCTATTGTCCAGATGGAGCGCTGACAGCCAAATGCTCACATAGCCTCAGAGTTTGGCTAACAGAGGCGTCCCACTTTCAATGAAAGCTTTTCATCGAAGTATGGGTGAATTTTTAATTTGAAGCGTTTCTATCCGTCCGTCGTTTTCTGCCCTTGTAAAAACACTACATACATCCTCGATTTATGTACCCGGAGCTGCAGATTTGATAAACAGCATCTAATTGATTGTGCTCAATAGTAATTGCTCTGAGATGATCTGAATAGAGTTGCGTGTGGGCGAGGAGCAGAACAAGAAAGTCACATTGTATTGAATGGGACACCAGACAATAATAACTCAAAATCACAAGATAACATCAGTACAGCAGCGTTGAAAGCGTCAGAAAACACAATCTTATCTTATGGTAAATTAAGCTCATTGAGCTGTTTAAATGTTTTCAGAAAATGAAGTGCTCACCTGCCACAATGTAAAAGTATGTTAATTCACCTCTTCTGAGACTTTTATGTTTGAACTTAAGTTCAAAACAGACCCTATCCACTTTCATAATGCAGTCTTGAGACTTATAGACTGAAAAAATATAGACTAAATATATGCATAAGCTGATCTACAGCGAATGCCACAAGAAGTGAGGTCATGTAAGTTGAGTTTGGATTTGGCAGCATATACTCTTTTTCTCCTCTTGCCCTTTTATATAAGAGAATCGATTATGATTCAGTCGAGTGTAAGTGTATTTCAGCAAACTCCATCATATCATTTGTCATGTCAGTCAGAATGTGTGAAAGCAGCAGTGAGTAATATCAGAATAATGTTCATATGAGTGACTCAATCTTCTGATACCAGATGGTATTGAATAAAACATAGCAAATTGTGACGGACTCGCAGGACACCAGCACTGTGTTCGGTGTGTGAACCAGGCTAAACAGGATAATGAGATGCAGGTGAATGTGATAATGGATGATGGTCTGGGCAAAGGATTATGGGGAATGGAGTGGTTGGAGTTATCCCGATCGAGCTACACATTCTCAATGGTGATCGTTACATAGCCGCCCATTTTTTTTAAGGATTAATCACAAATTTTCTTACGCTGTTGCATAACAGTAAAGCTCAGTTGTGCAAAAAATAAGTTTGTTTAATTTCATATTATTAAAAGATCAATTAAATTAATGTTTTTTGGCATTTATTTGATTGATTGACAGAAAAATAACAAAAAAAAAAATAATAATAAATTTTAGTTTTTTATGAATTCAGTTAATTAGACATGCTTTTTGATTATTAACATTAACATAAACAGAAAAACTAAATTTAGTCAAAAATGATTTCATAGGGCCCTAAACATTTCATTTTTGTTAAAATTGTTGTTAAATTGTATAAGTTGCATGATTTAAATTAATTAGACATGCTTTTTGATTATTAAAATTTAATTTAATAATTTAATAAACAGAAAAACTAAATTTAGTCAAAAATGATTTCATAGGGCCCTAAACATTTCATTTTTGTTAAAATTGTTGTTAAATTGTATAAGTTGCATGATTTAAATTAATTAGACATGCTTTTTGATTATTAAAATTTAATTTAATAATTTAATAAACAGAAACTAAATTTAGTCAAAAATTATTTCATAGGGCCCTAAACATTTCGTTTTTGTTAAAATTGTTGTTAAATTGTATAAGTTGCATGATTTAAATTAATTAGACATGCTTTTTGATGATTAAAATTTAATTTAATAATTTAATAAACAGAAAAACTAAATTTAGTCAAAAATGATTTCATAGGGCCCTAAACATTTCATTTTTGTTAAAATTGTTGTTAAATTGTATAAGTTGCATGATTTAAATTAATTAGACATGCTTTTTGATGATTAAAATTTAATTTAATAATTTAATAAACAGAAACTAAATTTAGTCAAAAATGATTTCATAGGGCCCTAAACATTTCATTTTTGTTAAAATTGTTGTTAAATTGTATAAGTTGCATGATTTAAATTAATTAGACATGCTTTTTGATGATTCAAATTTAATTTAATAATTTAATAAACAGAAAAACTAAATTTAGTCAAAAATGATTTCATAGGGCCCTAAACATTTCGTTTTTGTTAAAATTGTTGTTAAATTGTATAAGTTTCAAGATTTAAATTAATTAGACATGCTTTTTGATGATTAAAATTTAATTTAACCATTCAATCCAGAAGCATTAAAAGTGAAAAACGGAATTTGGATAAAATAAATCAGAATTCGGGGAAAAAAAAAAATGTAATGGATTTCATAGGGCCCTACAAAAGCATGTCTTCAATTTAAATAAATTAACTCATTCTTGTTGTTCACCCTGATATCATGTGTGTATAATATACAGTTGTTGTTGTTTTTTAGATAACATTCTACTTGCAAATCAATGCAAGCAATGAAAACAAACGGACAGTTTTTCCTGTCCATAAAATACGTGAGGAATTCCAGAACAGCCGCCTCTGGCCAATAGTAATGTAAAAGCATGCAGGATTGTTATGCAAAGCAAGCTATTGAATCAATACATGCGTTTCTATATTTAGATGCACTGCAGGCCGGATTGTCGCCAGCGAGAGACGAGGAAATCGTTATAGTCACTTACAACCGGCTTCATTATTGAACATTGTAGCACGTTTGTGAGTTTTCTGCGGATCCAGAGTCAATAGACTGCGGTTTGCTCTGCTGAACTATCAGATATTTGATCATGTAGTCTCAATGGATTTCCAGCGAGCACAGAAGCAGGAGTCTGAGTTTGCTGGCGACGTCTTCTGCAAGCTGATTTCACGGTGCATGGTGCCTGTCTTCAGATTGCTTTAGCCCAACTCCCCGTCATACACCACCTCCATCCCCTGTTGCCATGGCGCTGGTGAAGCGCTCGCCACCATACTCCAATTTTCATAGTTGAACCGGTTGACTGCAGAGATGCTTTCATTATTCAGATAGCCTTGTCAGTTGCCTTGGCAATTATCATAAATATTATATAGTCATATTATGGGGAGCATTATAGTTGCATGTTTTACAGGCACCTTCACATGATCAGAAAATATCATTTTTTATATATATATAAATTAGGGCTGTCAAACGATTCCAAAATAAAAGTTTGTGTTTACATAATATATGTGGGTGCACTTTTATATATAAATATACACACATGCATGTATATTTAATAAAAAAAAATATTATTTTTATATGTAAATTAAATTATATATAAATTAGGGGTGGAACAATATATCGTGCCACAATATATCGCAATACAAAAATGCAACAATGCGTATCGGAGATAGGGACAATATGTATTGTGGATAGTCCCCCCCCAAAATAAAAATTACTGTTTGAGAAAAAGTGCAAGGATATTCATTTACTACAACTCTTTATTTTCAGCTTCAGATTCATGAATATTGTTATTCTGATGTCACCATTGTCCTTGGGTTATAAGCACCAAGTCCAAGCCTATTTATTTAAACCCACAATGTAATATCAAAGTTAGCATTTTAATCAACAGTACATTTTTGGTTAACCTTTTACCATGTCTTGGAGTATCGCAATAATATCGTATCGTGATATGTATCGAATCATGACATGAGGGTCTCGTTACACCCCTAATATAAATCTATATACAGTACATGAAATATTTCTTAAATATATACAAGCATGTGTGTGTATTTAAATACAAAATAATTATACACAGTGCACCCACATATATTATGTAAAGACAAACTTTTATTTTGGATGCGATTAATCATTTGACAGCTGTAATATAAATATAAAGATTTCTCCTCAATGTCGTTTGTGCATCATGTTTTCATTTCGAAGTTAGCTGACGGAGTTGAGTTGGGGATGACCTCGTGGCCCAGTGAATATTAAAGGAGACGTGTTTCTTGTGTGTTTTAGGTCAAAGCGCTGAACAAATGACATCCAGGTTGTCTTTATATAATCTCCTGGAGTCTGCTTGTCCTCACCCTCGACTGTCACACACACACACAAAAGTGTGTCAGCAAGGGGTGGGGATTGCAGCCCCACCGAAATGCGTTTCAGGAATTAACATAATGATAATGGATTGACTTGGAAATCATAATTGATTTTTAAGTCAGTTTATCTTTAGGTAAAGTTTCAATCACCTTTACCTAAATGTGCATAGGTCTATATTACATATTACATTTGTTATATCTGTCTTTTCTTCCAGACAGACTGTTTGTCAGTGTCAGTGTTCTGCCAGTAGGTGGCGACACGCGACTGACTCATTCATTCAGAGCACTGATTCATTGAATCATTCATGCAACCAAACTCCACTTTGGTCCTGTCCTAAATGGCACCCTAAGCACTCTCAGGGCCAGATGTACGTACATTAGCAAACGCAGCGTTAATAGTGCCTTGGCCAAGACTAGGAAAGCGCATGATGTGAACCCGTGTCCGTGTTATTTACCAAACCTGCGGTTCATCAGGTAAACAGCGCACTATACCGCAAATTGCGTGTATTAACCACAGTCCAATAGCACCAAAAAACTCCTGCCTTCAGCACAACCAACGCATTCTCATCCTTTAGCGTCATATAGAACGCTATATGACAAAACTGCGCACATGGCACCCGTTATCGTTAATATAACGCACGCTGTGATAGTTAGGGTTGGGTATCGAGAATCGAGTGTCGATTGGAACCGGGACTAACTTTTAGTTTTTCCCGGAATCGTTCAAAAGTTAAAATTTCGATTCCTAGTTTCGATATTCACAGTCCGCCGAGCGGAAGAAGAAACCGCTGAACAACACCAACGAAGAAGCGTCTACTGGAAGTGTTGGCATAACCGTGCGAGTCGAACATGAGTAGCTTACGTCGGCGGTCCAAACTGTGTCTTCACTTTTCTAAAAATAACGAAATCTCGGCAAAATGCAAAATTTGTGACAAAAGGAATATTTCCTTCAGAAAGACCGTTGGTTAGCAAGGTTAGCTAAAGTTTTTTGACCCTGCCTCTTAAAAGAATCGGAATCGAGAATCGTTAGGAACTGGAATCAAAACAAGGAATCGGAATCGGAATCAGAATCGTTCAAATTCACACGATACCCAATCCTAGTGATAGTCCAGTCATTTTATGAAAAAAGGTTGAACAAATTGCAACAGAAGCAAACTCAACTGATTTTGTATACTCAATATGTCCTGAGTAAGGAAAAAAAGCCCCGAAGAATCCCATTAGGGGAAAGTTTCGAAAAAGACCCAAAATATATCCCATTCATACGCATATTCATTAGTTTTCTCACGTGAATAGGGTAAAAATTTTAACCTTTAGATATCATCATGACAATCACTGAGTTGATTACTTGCATCAAGACAAACAAAAAATGTATTACAAGTTTTTCTAAATTGTTTGTTAACATGGACAAACGGTGCATAATATAATTACGTATTAGCTAATTTGCATAATTACCCAAACGGATCTAAACATTGGGTATAGCAGATGAAAATGTTTTTTTGAATCTTGTTGATATATAGTAGGGGTGTAACGGTACATGTATTCGTATTGAACCGTTTCGGTTTGAGGCTTCCGGTTCGGTACGCATACAAACCGAACGATTGCTTGGAACATTTTTCTTGCCGGCAAAATTCGTGCTGACGCGGCCAACACAACGTTGCGCAACATCCAAATGGCAAGCGTAATGAAAGCAGAACGAAACTGCGCTACTCGTTATGTGCTTCACGGATCGTTTATCAGTTCGGACCAGCAACATCTGTGCAGCGCGAGCCGATCTCGATCAAGCAACACTGTTAACACACCGCGCTAAGAGATCCGGTAAAGAAAACATTTGAATTCGCCACTGAGGTAATAACATCGCTGCGAGATCTAGTGAGATGCATTCACATTTCTCCGTTATTAACCGTAGATCTCTATTAGATCAAACAGCGCTGTCATGGAAACCAGGAGAAACATTGTGCCGTGAATGAACTAGTAATACTTTACGTCCACAGACCAGCAACATTCACCATGGATTTAATATAGTAACACTAACTGGAACCAGTTTGGCTGGAATGGTGAAATGCTTTCAAGTACTTCACACATCTTTTTCCAGCACTTCAAAATTCAAATATTATATAAATAAACATATATTTAAATGTTATTTTTAATGTGATGACCAAAACATTATTTTTTCATCCTTCAAAGATGACCCCCATTTATAAACCGGAAAGTTTCAAGATCTAGGAAAACTCACACTTATTTAAAAATATTTTTTCTTTAAACAAATAGGAAATTTCTCTGGCATTTCTTTCTTTTTGCTGTATCGAAAACGTACTGAACCGTGACTTTAAAACCGAGGTACGTACCGAACCGTGATTTTTGTGTACCGTTACACCCCTAATATATAACATTAAAAGACTTAATGTTAAGGTCTGAATGGAACCCATTTAGGCTACCCATGAACATTAATGCAGGAAGAAGTACTTTAGAAACCAGCCTTTATTAATTATTATGGCAGAGATGGGGTTAGTGAAATGCCTTATGCTAGACAACACCACAAATGTAACGTTATCATGGTTCGAGCATGGAGCATTGGTTCAGTCTAGCCTATTATTGTTTACATGAGTTTTCTAGCATGTTGTGTGATGCTTTCTCCGGTGTGTGTAAAGTCTCATTGTCTCATTTGAGCATGAGTGCTCTTGTAAAAATTGGTTGCAATCTGAAACATCACAGATAGAGGCCGCTAAAAAATACATATAGCACCTTTAAAATAAAAGTATTATAAAAATGAGTCGTTTTTGAAGTAGCACGGTTACATCCCCATGTGTTCCCTGGAGCATATTCAGGTTTTACCGTCATACAAACGATGCTCTATTTTTATCCTCATTCATTGCTGTGTTGCATAAAGGAGTACGGAGAGCAAATGCCTCTTTGTTTTGTTCCTGCTCAGTTGTAGCTCAGCCATGCCGTCAGCTTTTGCTTCTGCTGCATCTGTCAGAAAGCATATCTGTCAGTGTGCGCATTACACACTGCAGACGCTCTGGCCTTGCATCATTTCCTGAGGAATGTATTTTTAAGAGAGCCATTCGATTATTTCTTTGATCTGGATCTACGTGCGTAAACGAAACAACACTGTGTGGTACATTTGTTTAATTATTAATCCTTCAGTGTTTTCTCTGTCAACACTTTCCATGCTGTTGCCTTGTGTGACATTTGAATGGCTTCTGTAATATTTAACATAATATTGATTTGCTCCAACAGCATGAAATTGTTTTTGTGAGCTGTGACATAAAATCTGCCCTCCCTCTCTCAGGAAACAGACCTATTGGACATCAACTACATCAAAGATGCAAGAACAGGGAAATGCACCAAAACGCCAAAGGTAAGACCATGTTCAATGCATCCTGCTGTTATTAACCCTTTAACTGACTTCTCAACCTAAGGGTTGAGCACATTTTGAGTCACTATATTTTTTCGAGAGCTTAACTCAAACTGATTGAGCCATCGCTATCATCTGGTTGAGGTATATTATGCCCAAAAAAAAAAATAGATTTCACAATGTCAATCAACAGCACTTGTCACAACACTTCTTCTAACATGGATGTCAGAAACCCATAAATCACCCCAGCCATGTGAACTGTTTTTGGTGAAATTTGGCAAGCTAAGCATAATTTTTTTTTTCTCGCATATTACTGTAAGAGCCTTAACTTTACAAAATGAGGTTACTTGGTGCTATGAAAAAAAACTTAAGTATATTTTTAATAATTTTTCAAAAACATGCTTAACCAAACGGTTGATTTGGCACATATCGATTAACTTTTTGAGAATGGACATTACAATGCACTATTAAAACTTGGTTGTATTTCAAGTATGCTTTGGAATAAAGACCTAAGTTTAGTCTTGTTTTAAAGAAAACACTGCTGAAGTAAAAAGCACATAAAAAATAAAAGTATGAAAGAGTATGGACGTTTTAAATGTACATAAAATCAATTACTGAAATAAATATATTTTTCTTTTATATAAAATATATTTTTTTTCCCTATAAAATCACTATAAAATCAAAGCCATATATCTAACCAAATTTGAAGTTGATATCACAAAAATTGAAGTTCTCATGAGATTTTGTTTAGGCGTAGTACCAAAAATGACATAAATTCCATTGAATTTAATTGTATGCATTCTGCTGTAACAAATTAATAAATTTCTGTCCAAATATCACTTCTGTTACAAAATATGGAACCTTGAGACTCAGACCTTTCTGACAATGTGCTTTGTCAAGACTAGAAAAGATTTTGATCATAAATTATGATGGGCAATGAAAAAGTATGGCAAAGTATGTGTATGAATTCCAGTACCATTTATTACCATTACCAAAGTGACATCTCAGCCATCTAGTAGAGGCCGATATTTAAAAAATTATGGGATGTGTTGAAAAAAATACATTGAGTGTGGTTAATAGCAGCATAAGAAGATAAGAAATGCAAAAAAAAAAAAAATCCATCACTTTTTTCTTGGTGTGGACTTAAGAGTTAAACAAACAAACTATGTCAAACAACATGCTAAACAATACCAATGATATTTCCAACTTATTTTATTGGGATACTCCACATATTTTTTTGGAAATAGGCTCATTTTACAACACCCTCAGAGTTAAACTGTTGAGTTTTACCGTTTTTAAATCCATTCAGCCGATCTCCGGTTCTGGCGGTACCACTTTTAGCATAGCTTAGCATACATCATTGAAGTGGACAAGACCATTAGCATTTCTCAAAAAAAAAAAAAAAAAAAAAAAAATGACCAAAGAGTTTTGATATTTTTAAAACTTGACTCTTCTGTAATTACATCGTCATTAATTATACACAAACTTTTATTTTGGATGTGATTTATTTGACATTAATCGTTGCCCAGCCCTTATATTCTTGATAATTTTGCGATTAACTTTGATTATATGTATATTTGTGTGTGTGTGTGTATATATATATATATATATATATATTATAGTAACTCAATGTTTTATAATCAATAGTTTTATTTTGCGTGATTAGTTTGAGTAGTGTTGCTCAACAAGAAAAGAAACGCACAGTCAAAACTAAAATATTTGATTGTTTTAATTAATCTCGGCACTGGATGGTTTGGCTTATAACTCATGAACACATTTTTGAGATGCCTGTGGAGTAAATAAATGAGAAAAATACTTGTGGGATGCTGGGAAAGATGGGTGTCACTGTTTGAGATGCAGGACTAGTAACACCAGTAACTTTCTCTCCTTCATTGGCTCGCATGCGTTTATAAGTATGTCCTTGTAATGGAGGTTTAGCTGTTACTACGGCATTGTGCTCAGTTTCCCAGGCCCTATATAGGTTAATAGCTCTTGTGGGTGATAAGCATCTCTCTGAGGGTAATGGTCTGTGCAATCTGGTGTGGAACGGCCACGGGCAGACAGACATCTGCACCCACGCTATATCTGGATCTAAATATGGAGCCCGTGGGCTGCGGGTCTCCCAGGTGAACTCTTTCCTGACGCTCATCGACGTTATTTGTGTGTGTGTGTGTGTGTGTGTGTGTGTGTGTGTGAGATGAGAGAACAGGCACTGGTGCCAAACGAAACCCACAAAAGTCTTTTCAAGCGTGGCCGTCAACAGAAGGCCTGCTTTAGCTTGAGTTGATTCATTGATTCTGATGTGGATGGTCCTTTAAAAGGATGTTGAGGAAATTGTGGTTAAGTATATTGAAAGAAGCTCTGGTGTAGGCATCCGTTTTAGTTGTGCTTTCCAGTTTCTCATGTTTTAAATGAGAATATCTCTTGTTTGTGTTTGGCACGGTAATTCAGTTCACATTTATTTGTATGGCGCTTTTCACAATACATATCATTTCAAAGCAGCTTTACAGAAAATGCGTGAGCCCACATGATCTGTTATCAGAGTTATCAGATTTCATAAATGCACATATACAAAATCACAATGTAATAATTGAATGCAGGAACAATGAGCTCATTGATTAACAAATGATTGGAAATGGGAAGATGAGTTGATATGTTTGCTGCTGCAGAGCCAGTATGGGACGATACACACGAGTCGACCTTAATTTTTATAAAGAAAATATAACCGAATATTACAAATGTAACATTTATTTTCCTGATTTACACACTTGACCTGTTGTTTTCTTTTCAACACACAATTTAGGTAGGAAAAACTGAAATATCTGTAAAAAAAAAAAATGTTTTTTAAAAAAAATATTGTTTGTCTGATTATCTGTCAATCAAAAATTAGGATTTTTAAAAGAGTTTGAAATAAGTCTCTTGTGCTCATCAAGGCTGCATTTGTTTGATAAGAAATACAGTAAAAACAGTAAGATTGTAAAATATTATTACCATTGCAAATAACTGTGAATGTGAATATTTTAAAATGTATATATTTTTTTGTTCTTATTAATGTTCAGCATCATTACTCCAGTCTTCAGTGTCACATGATCCGTCAGAAATCACTCTAATATGATGATTTGATGCTCAATTATTATTGGTTCTCAATTATTAATAATTGTTCTTATTATTATCAATGTTTACACTGTAAAAAATATTGTTGGTTTAACTTAAAGTAAGTAACCTGGTTGCCTTAAAATGTTAAGTTGATTGAACTGGAAAAAGTGAATTAATACAATGATTTAATCATCAGAAACTCAAAATTATATGTTATCTGAACTAAATAAATGATTTAAGTTGATTTGACAAAAGAAAAAATGTTGTGATAACCACTGTAAAAATATATTGTTGGTTTAACTTAAAAAAGTAAGTAACCTGGGTTGCCTTAAAATTTTAAGTTGATTTGAACCGGAAAAAGTGAGTTAATACAATGAAGGAGATTAATTTAAAATAAGTTATCTCAACTAAATAAATTATTATAAAGTTGATTTGACAAAAGAAAATATGTTGTGATAACACATCTTGAAAATATTTTTTTTACAGTGAGAACAGTTTTCACTGTAAAACAATATTGTTGGTTTAACTTAAAAAAGTAAGTAACCTGGTTGCCTTAATTTTAAGTTGGTTGAACTGGAAAAAGTGAGTTAATACAATGAATCATCAGAAACTGATTTGACAAAAGAAAAAATGTTGTGATAACAAATCTTTTTTCAGTGTACTTAGCATTTTTGTGGAAACCATAATACATTTTTTTCAAGATACGTTGACAGATGGAAAGCTCATTTATTTCAGATAGAAATCTTTTGTGACATTATAAATGTCTTTAACTGTCAAATGTTTTGATCAATTTAATGCATCCTTGCTGAATAAAATAATTGATTGATTTATTTTTTCTTTCTTTTCTTTTTTTTTTAACCCCAAACTTCTGAATAGTCATTTCCACAAAAACGTGAAAAATAACTGTTTTCAACATCGATAATGATCAGAAATGTTTCTTTAGCATCAAATCATCATAAAGTGATTTCTGAAGGATCATGTGACACTGAAGAGTAATGATGCTGAAAATTCTGCTTTATTTTAAATGGTAATAACATTTCACAATATTATGGTTTTACTACTGTAAAAAAAATATTGACCTATTCCAAACGTTTGAGCAGTCGTGTATGGGTTATTATTATTTGTTAATCTCTCTGAATCTGCTTGTACTGAGGTGGAGATTAGCTCTCTCTCTCTCGTGATATAAAGCATCTTCTGCGAGGGAGTGCGACTGCATCTTCATGACTCGAGTGTCATGACTGAGAGTGATTCTGGGAAACGCAGTGTGCCGGTGTCAAAGCCAGATGAATAAATCTTGTAGCGGAGCGTTTATATGAAGGTGTTCACGAGCCACAACAGACCGTCCATCCAGCCCTGGACGTAGAGGTCGAAGCCATTTACTCAGACTGAAAATGAGACGCTGTATCATTCTGAGAGAGCGAGATGCTGTCTGGAGGAGCGATGCTCCAATGATCGATTGAGCCACTCAGCACCCAATAACACATAATGCATGCTGGAGAAATGCTATTACAATCTAAACTTTAACTCTTTAACACTTGAATACAAGATGCAAAATGCGGGAAATAGAGCAACCACTTTACTATAGACGAGATCTGACAAACAACTGAAAATGAGGTCTGTGTTGGAAATCGCGCTCCCTACACTGATATAGTCCACTCGAATCCTGAAAAATATGACAATATGAATGTTTCTTGTGCATTAAATCATCAAGGATCATGTAACTGAAGACTGATGCTGAAAATTCAGCTTTGATCACAGGAATAAAGTTTTCTATATATAAAATACAGACAACTTATTTTAATTTGTAATAATATTTCACAATTTTTCCTTGTTTTTGATCAAATAAATACAGCTTTGGTGAGCAGAAGACTTCTTTTAAAAATATTAAAAAATCGTACCAACATCCA